AGACCTCATTCTATTCCAAACCCTAACCTTCTAGTCTGACTGTTTTTCTGCAGAAAGTACTGATACTTCTTGGGAATCCACAATATTCTAAAAATACATCAGCTGTGCTGCGGTGCCACAATTAGTGGAGCTGCTGTCCCATGAAACCCTCATCACCATTTTGCTTAGATCAGAGAGCGGATTAACTTTGATGTCTGTCTGAGACCCGTGCAAGACACCACCGGGGGTCTGCTCCCTGCAAGCATTCAATCTTCACATCCAAGGAAAGAAGGAGAAAGTGCTGGGTAGGAGCCCAAACCAATTTTTTTCTCGGTGATTGAGATGAAAATATGCTCCCTAGGACTGCTGACATATTTGACTTGCATTCTGTCTCCGTACATCCCTGAGCTTTCTCTGTTTGCACAGATACCTTCCCCCATGCCCAACGCTTCCTTTGGCTTTCACAAACATTCACACAGCTACGAAGCCCCAAGCCCTTTGTCTATGCCATGTGGGAATTTCTGTCTCTATAAGGGCTCCTAGTGACAGGCAACCAAAACTGACACCAACTGAAGTCCAAAGGGAGTTATGGAAGCACGTGGGGTGGTCTACAGAATACAACGAATGATGGAAAATCAGGGAGCTCCAGAGTTCTGGGCAAGCTCCAGAATTCTGGGAGAGTGAGAGATATGCAAAAATCTACTGTGTCCGGTGGCTCAGTTAGTTGAACATCATCCTGTGCACCAAAAGTTGTAGGTTCTATCCCCGGTCAGGGAACATGCCTAGGTTGCAGATTCTACTCCTGGTTGGGGTACATGCAAGAGGCAACTGATTGATATTTCTCTCTCACATTGATGTTTCTCTCTTTCTCTCTCTCCCTGTCTTTCTTTGTCTCTCTCTTTCCCTCTCCCTCTCTCTTTCCCCCTCCCTTCCTCTCACTCTAAAATCAATAAGCATGTCCTCAGGTGAGGATTTAAAAAAGGTCCACCTCGACTGTATTGTCTGTCCTTGCGCTGCCCATCCTCCCAATTCTGATTTCTGTGAGAAAGAACCGGTGGACCTGCACAAAATTGTACCCACCCAGACAACATGTGCTCACTGACTTCATAAGGCTGTGTAGGTTGATGGTAAGGGCAGGTCTCTGGAGACAGTCTGAAGTTGAATCCTGGCTCTGCCACTTACTAGCTATGTAACCTTGAATTAGTCATTCTTGCTATGCTCTGGCTTCCCCTTCTGCAGATAGAGACACTATTTATAGGGCCTGGGGAGTATTGAATGGATAAACCTGTGATTGTGACTGGCACAGGGGAAATGTTCTACAGCCTTGACATTATTAGTGATAGGAAAACATGGGGCCCCTAAACTTACAGTCCAACCAAGAATGCCAGGATGAGAAGTCGCTCTCTGAAAGAAATCAGGAGCTATTATTAGGGGAGGCTGAGTGGCCAAGAAGCAATTACTTACTATCCATTGACACATCCTATTCCTCCACTAGACTGTGGATACCATGAGGCCAACAGACTCTCCTGTTAATTCTCTGCTGCCTCCACCAGCACCCGAAAAGTGCCTGGCACATTGTTCTGCTTTCTTTTTGTGTTCCCATTCAACTAGTCCACTGCTTTGACCTGAGTAGGCACACAATAAGTCTTTGCTGACTTATTGTATAGGTCAGTGGAATTCTCAGAAATGGGGAAACCACTGAAATCAAAAGATAGACTTATATTTTGTAGGACTTGGTGGGAAGCAAGGGTGAAATTGTTGGTGTAATGATGATGCTAATAGGCTACACAAATGGCATAGCTGGTCTAGAAGACAGGGCAATCCTTAACTTGCAGCTCAGGGAGGTGTTAAGCAAATGAAATTACACTCATAGTGATTTCATCTGGAACTCCTTCTGTTTTCAAAGACAGAACCCAATTCAATCTGGCTACAGTGAAGAGGGGACTTTATGAGAAATCCAGGGGTAGACTCCCTGTTAGCTGGCTTCAGGGGCTCAAAGCTAACATCAGCATCTGATTTCTCTCTTTGTCTGAGGTCCTCTTCTGCTATAATGTCCTCATTCTCATCTCTAAATGGTGGTCTCCAGTAGCTTCCGAGTCCCATCCTCTCAAGTTCGAACCCAGCTTTCCAGCAATTGGGACAGTCTATGGTTGGCTCAGTGTGGGTCATGTGGCAAGGATGTTGCAGCTATATTGGATGATCAGACCTGTGCTCTATGCTGGTCAACCCCTGTGGTGAGGGAGCTTGGTCAGGCATGGCTACATGCTTAACTCCTGGAGCTGGGGGGAAAGGAAGAATTTGGGTAGGGGGGAGAAGCCCCAGCTTACTTCATAGATTGAGAATGGGAGAGGAATGGTTTGCCAGAAGATATGCAGGGTACTATTAACAGAAAGTGAATGGATGCTGCTAAAATGACAAATGTGCATTGCACCTGGGCATTTTCATATCACATGATATAAAGCATATGCATCACTTCATTCCCTCTTCGCTGTGAAGTCTGCCCTCTGCCTAACAAGCTCCTGCAAGTGCCTGAGGAGCAGCTGCCTTACCCTACTGTCATCCGTCTTCCTCCTCTGAGCTTCTGTAGCCTGCAGGACCATATCACTCACCCGCAAGATCAGGTCATTAGTTATCTCTTTATGTATATGTCCTGTCTCTTCATCCACATTGGCAGGATCCTGGAGAGCAAGGGTCACATCTTATTCATCTTTGTGTTCCCCATAGCATTTTGCCTGGTGTTTGGGGCATGGCTGATAGTTCATAAATCTGCTGACAGCTTGAACACCTGATTTATATGCTTTTGGAACCACAGAGGTAGACAGGAGCTTGATTCAACTACAACACTACAAAGAAAGGGGAAACTGGTGCTCTGAGAGCACCATTTCTGAAAGATCATAGATCTTTTCTGGACTGAATAATGCTGCTGGGTCAAGATGAATATCCTCTCTGCTCCCCAGCTCCCACTGCTGGTATCACTCTTATTTATAAAAGATTGAGTGAAGACCTGGTTTTCCTGGTTGAAGGTTGAGACTTCTCTCTTCCAACATGGCTCAGACCTATTCTTCAATTCCAATGAATAATAGACAAGGCTGTACCAGATTCACAGATCAATTGAAAATCCCCATCAAAGCATTCACCCAAAAACCTTACATGAGTTATACTACGAAGCAAAACCTTGCTTTAGAAGTGGACATTGAAGAGTCTAGAATCTAGGTTTGGTTTCAGAATGGAAGAACTGGGCACCGAGTCCAGAAAAAATCAGAACCTGAGGCAGACTTACAAGGAGCCAAGATAAAAATCATCCTATGGAGAAGAGTCAAAGCAGAGAAGGTAGATGGCATGGAACCAGTTACACTTCCTCCGAGTTACACACCCTCAGCTTGGCATTTACAAAAACCCTCATCCTGCACTTGATTCCAGACAGCAACTTACTAAGGACATTGGGGTTCCATGCCCTGGCTGGTGAGGCTCAGTGGATTGAGGGCTGACCTGCAAACCACAAGGCCACCAGGTCAATTCCCAGTCAGGGCACATGCCCGGATTGTGAGCCAGGTTCTCACTTGGGGGCATGTGAGAGGCAACCAATCAATGTATATATTGAATATCAATGTTTCTCTCCCTCTCTTTCTCCTTCCCTTCCCCTTTATCTAAGAATAAATAAACGAAATCTTAAAAAAAAAAAAAAAAGGAAATTGGAGTTCCAGAGTCAAGAGTCCAAATTCAGTTTTAAAATTGAAGATCTAGTTTCCATGTCTGGAGAAATAAAGAATCTGATGAGCCTTGATTTAAGAACAGTAACAAACCAGGACTGAGATCTCTGATATGAGAGAGTTCAAGGTACAGAAACTACACACAATGGCACCCATCTCACTAGCAACTGTCTTATTTCTCTGAAGCCAGAAGAGGATGGACTGAGAGACAAAATCCGTGTGTTTGACGTTATCAGCCTGGGCTCCAAATCTCTTTCACTCTTCCTGGGAACATGCCCTTTTAAACATACCTTCGGCCTCTCTGGAGGCCGAGCCTTTTGGCGGACAGACATGGGGCGCCACACCAATCTACTGATGGAGCAAATGTCAAGGAATATAATGATAACCTTATTCGTATCTGTTTTAAAAAAATATAAAAAGAAAATTGAGTGAAGACCAAAGGAATGTTAGTCTCAGCTGTGCAGTACATCTCTGGACAGGTCATAGGTGGATACAGCCCACCCCAAAGGATGGAGGATGGCAGTCATAGGGAGAGGAAGCAGATGTCTGTTCTCAGTGGCCTCCCGCACCAGGCAATATGGCATGGCCCCAAGGTCCCATCTGTGGAACGGGTGGCTGGTTCTCTGCCCTGTACTGATCCCTATATACTCCCCATCTTCATTCATAATGGGAACAGGGAGAGAGCAAGGGGAAAAAGTCTTCTTGTAGTGCGGTTGTTGAAATAACATTTCTCCCAGGGTAGTCTCGGTCCTGTGGCTCTGGTTTCAGAATCCCCCTTGCAGAACCCCTGGGCCAGGCTACTTGCCTGTTTATCTCTAATCCTCTCAAATCGCCCTTGGGATGACCAAATAACTTGTCCAAAGCCAGGCAGGCGAGCCGTGGTTCCCTCACCTGTAAAATGGGCCAACTAGTACGAGGAATAATTAAGTCAGGGAGCCACAGAGCATTCGGATCATGAAAGACAGTTGCTAAAATCAAATTAATGGGGAAGAACAGGAAAGCGTGGTTGGTATAGGAGGGAGTGGCAAAAGAGGTCAGAAGACTTGTGGGGAGTTGGCTCAGGTGGGAGCCAGGTAGAATGGCATGGCAAGGCAGGGCAGGGGACAGTACAGGGTCCACGGAATGCAGCTTAGCCAAGCCCCACTCTCAAACCACCTCTAGTGACCCACAGGTGCCTTACACGGCAACGGAGTGCAGGGGAGGCAGTGCACAGAACTGAGGCCCCGCCCCGCCCGCCCAGTCCCCCGCCCAGTCCCCCTTCAGGCCCGCCTCTGGCCCCACCCCATTCCTAGCTACACGCCAGCTCCTCCTAGCCACACCCCCAAGGCCCGGAAGTGAAAGCTGCTGAGCTCCGACCCGACCCAGCAGCGCAGCGTTGCGGAGCGTGATTCCAGTGGTTCGGAGGTTCGGGATTCTGAGCTGGTCAGGGCAATCCCTGCTGGCGCCATGTCCCGGAACCTGCGGACCACACTCATTTTTGGCGGCTTCATCTCCCTGGTCGGCGCCGCCTTCTACCCCATCTACTTCCGGCCCCTAATGCGGCCGGAGGAATACCGTGAGTGACCTCTGATCCGGTGCGGTGACCTAGTCCCAGTAACTCCCTGCCCCCAGTCATGTCCACGTGGGGACGTGGAAAGATCTTGGCTCCAGAGTCAGGCTGGCCCGGGTTTAATTCTACTGTGGTGGCTTTGTGACTGTAGGCGAGTGACTCAGTCTCTCTGAAACAGTATCCTCATCTATAAGTAACTATTTCTACAATATCTAAAATCAAACCCTCTAGTCGCCTTTGGGACTTAAAGGTGGTAATTAAAGCAATCTGCACATAGTAGGTCGACACTAAACACTAGTTCATACTTATTGTTAACATTAACCGACTGCTTATGTGATGGGTTAGGCATACAGTGGATCCTTTTCATTTCTGCAGCCTCATTTAGAAGTAGGTATTATCACTTGTTATACAGGTGGGGAAACTGAGGCTCAGGGAGGTTATATAGCATGCCCAAGGTCACACACCTAGTAAGTGGCAAGGTAAATATTCCAACCAGCCCTCTGTCGTCAGAGCTTCCACATACTGTAGCTGGAAATGGTTATGTTGGGGGGAAACAGATTGAACCCTAATCATACTGAGCTTCAAGGTGATTTTCCTGGCAACTTCATTTCCACTCCCAGAGATGTCTTTGGGTGGAAATGTTTCTAACCTAAACTGTTAACCTGGGCTTTTTAGTTATTCCTCTTTTCTCAAATCTTTTTTCAGATTCTGCTATCTTCATTTTCAGCTCGTTGCTCACATGACAATGGTAGATATCCTGGGAGTAATTTTCCTCCTTAATCATTCAAGTCCTATCATGCTAAAAGCCAAACTCTCCTTCCTTGAGACCTATACCTCAGCAAGGATTAGCACTTTGATACATCTGAAACCATCTGTCAGAGAGAAAATATTAGGCATTAGAGGCTCATTTTGTTCTCCAGGAAACCTGAATCATCTTGAAGTTGAATGAGAGCCAGCCCTGCCCCTTGAGAATATTAGTGGAGGCTGAAAGCTTGGCAATTTGAAGGCGAAAGCTCCGTGTAAATGCTCTGCCCGTTACAAATGCTACAACATTTGGTTTCTGGAGGTAGAGCCTTTTAAATACACACTTAAATTTCCTTGTAGCTTCTTTTCATCAGCCAAGATTAAAATGGCCTCTGTGCGTTTTGCCTTCCAGCCTGTGCACTGTGCATGGGGGTAAACGGCTGGGCGAAGCCCCGTGTAATCTATTTCTATCATCCTTATTGGATCCCTGCCACAGGCTATTTTATTATGGCCTCGAACATTGAACATGGGACGAGGGGGTCTGCTTTGGAGCCCGCTAGAAAAGTTTCAGTTTTGAAGACTAGAGCACTGGCTTTTAACTAGGGGTAATTTTTGTCCCTCAGGGGACATTTGGTTCTGTTTAGAGACATTTTGCTTATCATAGCTGGGGGTGGGGTGGGGTGAGTGTGCCACGGGCATCTAGTAGATAGAGGCCAGGCATGCCACTAAACTTTGTCCAGTGCACTGGACAGCTTCTCGTGACAAAGAATTACCCAGCCTAAAATGTGAATGGTGGCGAGATTGGGAAATCCTGGCCTCGATCAGATGGTCAAGCTGTGGTTTGTGCCATGGGTCCCAGCTACAGCCTGTGGAGGTTCTCTAGAATCTGCATGAGTCTGAGTCACCTGGGACAGACAAGTCAGGCCTGTTAGGTGAACACTTACTGAGTGGTCACTGAATGCATTTTTAGCTGGAGGGCAGTCTACACCTGCCCACTTTTATGGTTCAGGTTTAATTAATTTGGCCAATTCTTATATGAGAGTCACAACTGATATTTTTAAACAGATAAATAATACTAAGCAAATAGTATGTCCTGAAAGTTTATCAGGGTACGTGCTATGTCCGGCACCCTTCCAAGCACTTCATACATATTAACTCCTGTAGTTCTCATACCAACCCTGTATGGTAGCTGCTCTGTGAGCATGGCCCCATTTTACATGTGGATAAAGTATAGAATAGTTAAGTAGCTTGTACCAGGACCCACAGCTGATGAGTCACAGACCTGGGGTTCGAGTCAGCGTCCTTAATTGGTATGCCATGGCACCATACTGCCTCTTTAGGGGAGCGAGAAAAGGGCGTGAGGCAGATAAGGGTCTAGCAGATGAGGACCTTCAGGTAAATAAATACTTAACCTCTCTAAGCTCCGCCTTTTTCCTCATCTGCAGCAATGGAGCTTACAGACCAAATTTACAGGTTTGGGGATGTTTTTAATGAGGTAAACAGGTGAGATAGCACCTAGTATAGTCTTATGTTAGGCATCCCATAAAAACATTAAAAAAAAAGGACCCTCAAGAGCAGGGATGTGAGACAAGGACATTTCAGCAGGTAGACACACCCTCCGGACTGGCTGGCCTGGCAGTAGCCTGGGTCCAGGTAGGTGAGGCGTTTGAGACTGGGAAACCGCTGGGAGGACAGAGCTTAAATGAATTTCAGCTAGCACTTATTTAGCTTTTTTAAAAGTTTTTTTTTTTAGCCTGGATTTTAGTAATTACTATGTACCTGTCACTGTGGTAGGTGCTGGGTATACCTGACTGAACAAGACAGAGCCTTTCTCACCGTCTCACCTCACCTTGTCCAGCCCACCTCCCCCACCCGGTTGGTGCTTGGACTCTGAGCTGGACCCCTGCTTCCACCCGGCCCCAGCTCCCAGCCCACTCTCCCAGCAGCCATGGCGGTCTTCCTGGTTGCTTTCCATTGCTCATTTCTACCGTATTTGCATCTGTAGTCAAAGAATGTGGACTGTGAATATTCAGATTCTTTGACAGTGGTGAAGATTTGCTTTGTGACAGTAAGATCAATTTTCACAAATGTTTTCTATGTCCTTAGAATGATGCGTCATCTCTGGTTGTTAGATACGGGTCTATATATGTTGATTACAGATCAAGCTTCTTAATTCTGTTATTTATTTCAATGTATATCTCGAAGCCATGTTATTAGCCACACGTAACCTAGAATATTCTGGAGAATTGTTTCATTTATCATTATGTAGAGGTCTTCATTATCCCTAATATTCCTCTCTCACTCTTTTTATCGATATTATAGTAACCAGCTTTCTTTTGGTTAATATTTTCCTGGTATATCTGTCCTCTGATAGTCTGCCTGAACTGGAGTTTTAATCCAATCTGATCATTTCTTTTCACTGTTAGATTGAGTTCATTTTCATTTGTTATATTTACTATTATATTTACTTTTATTTTCTTCATCTTATTTTGTGTTTTCTATTCTTCTCTCTATATACTTCCTTTTTTCTCCTTTATGCCTTCAAGGCTTTATTTTCCTCCCCCCTCTACTATGTAGTTTGAAACTTTACATTCTGTTTTTATTATTTTACTATTATTATTTAATGTTAGTCATGTCTTCTACCTGTGTATGAAATATACAAAGACCTTAGACCCAAGCCCCATCCTAAGTCCCGTGTATCACTTCAGTCCTACACTGTGTTTATTCCTGACTAATGCACAGTGTTTCACACAGTCCCTGGTTGCTTCTCTTTTCCCACAGTCTTTGGGCTCTTGTCCTTGCATCTCACTCCTTTCTAGTTTCAGTTTTCTTCCTTCTGAAACACATTGGTTACTATTTCTTTGGTGAGAATTTATAACTGGGAAAATTCATTCTTGTCTGTTAGAAGATGTATAGAAATCCCAGTCTTCTGCTGTGGTTGTTGTCCTGCCCCTTGGACTTTGAGTTTGATCACATGGCTTGACTAAAATACTTCGCGAATGCTCTGCTGTCCTCCGAGTCCAGCCAGTGGAGGATCACTGAAGTATTTTTATTGGGAGAAGGAGGTGATGAGATTCACTCTTTGTAGGCATTGCTCTGTAAGGTGAAGGAGGCCCTGGAAGGGTCAAGGCTAGGGGCAAGCAGACCAAGTAAAGGAAGGTTGTGCTTCCTGTGGCCACGGGGAGAGGAGGGGGAGTGACTGGAGCCTGAACCAGAGTAGTCATTATAGGACTGGGAAGAAGTATTGAATTTGGGAGCTGTATTTAGGAGGTCAGCTCTATATGGATTTGTGACCGATTAGCCACACAGTAAGGGAGGGGGAGGAAGGGGAAAGGAGCTCAGCTTTCTGGCTCCAGCAGCTGAGGAGATGGTGGTGCTGGTCATTTAGTAAGAAACACAAGAAGGAATCGGTTTTGCAGGTGAGAGGACGAGCTAGTTGCAACTGGAATGTGTTGAGTTTCAGGTGTCAGGATGTGCTTTTGGAGATTTCCCATGGGCAATGGGAGGTGCCAGTCTGGAGCTGAGATCCAGGATCTGAGCTGAGCTAGAGATGCAGTGTCATCAGTATTGGATGGAAAAGGAGGTAAGGGCTCCCAGGCAGCATCCAGAGACCAAAAGAGATGAGCTGGCCGAGGACCAGGATGCTGGTGGTGAACATGGTTTGAAGAGCAAACAGTCAGGAGAAGGGATGGTGGCCAGAGTGAGAGCATTATTAAAGAGAGCTCTTCACAGAAAGGGGTATGGACAGCAGGGTTAGGCTTCTTGGGGGCAGAAAGATAAGTGAAAATAGCCATCGGATTTATTTTTTTTAAAAAGGTAAAGGTCAGCCCTGGCTGTTGTAGCTCAGTGGATTGAGCACGGGCCTGTGAACCAAAAGATCGTGGTTCGATTCCCTGTCAGGGCACATGCCTGGGTTGCAGGCCAGTTCCCAGCAGGGGATGCACCAGAAGCAACCATACATTGATATTTCTCTCCTTCCCTTCCCTTCTAAAGATAAATAAATAAAATTTTAAAAAAGATAAAGGTCATTTTGTTAAGAATGCTTTAGGTGCATGGTTGTGGGCAGAAAGCAGACTGCAGGGACTGAAGAGTAAAGAGTGCATGAAATAGTGTGTGGGGGGGAATGACAGAGTGATCTGCAGCAGGTCCAGGGTCTAGGGAGAGTTTTGTTTGAGTTTTGTCTGGGAGAGCCCAGAGGGTCTCAGGATAAAGAAAGATGCTGAAGAGAGAAGATGGGAGTTGGCGTGGGATCTCAAGACCAGATGGAGGACAGAGCCTTGGACAGAAGGCAGGACACCTCTCCTGCCAGCTCAGGAGCAAGGGCAGGTTCGGATGCAGCTACATTAGGTTTGATGTTGGGAAGTGGTGGACACTTCCAGGCAATGACTTCCATTCTGGTCACGTATGTGTGAGAGGCACAACCACCAGCCCTCTTCGCTGGTCCTAGCTTTGCTGTTTTGCTTCCACCATTTGGCCACTCCTCTTAGCCCTTCCTGCTGGGTCTTCCTCTTCTGTCTGTCCCTCAAACGTTCGTATTCCTTAGGGTTCTGGGCAGACCTAGGAGAAGCCCACAGTTCTGGGAAGGGCAGGGCTGACACCCAGTCCTTGAGAGGTGGAGCCGGTGGCCACGTAGGGCTCTAGCGTAAAGTCAGCATGGGCCGTTGAGCTGGGCTAGTGGGACTGATACTGGCCAGCCGGGGTGTGGGGAATGTGGAGACAGGTAGGTTCCAGGGCCTCTGCTGGAATAAGCCACAATGCAGCAGAAAAGAGGAGGGAGCTGCTTAGGTAAAATCAAGCCACGGAGATCTTCCATGCTTTACAATCAGGCAAGCTGCTACCATCACAAGACTGCTCATGGGGTTTCACGTTGACATTCACTGTGATCGTCAGCCTTTTCACTAACTCAGCCAGATTGTACTCAGTGTTATGTGAAGTACAAGGTCAGTTCTGCACATGATGGCTTGGTACCACAATGAGCTTGGGGAGATGGCAGTTTGCCTTGGCGGTCAGTGATTCCAAACAAGAAGTATGGCGACCATTGTGCTTCCGGAGGGGATTCCAGATCTTACCTTTAGCTCTCATCCTGTGGCACAGCATGGCTTGTCTGAAGAGCCCACGTTCAGGGACAAATACAGACACTGTAACCTGAAGTCTAATCTGTGTTTTTATCCTAGAGCTAGGTAATGATTTTGAATGTGGCCTTTTAACAACAACCTCTATATGGCATTTTAGGCCAACCCGTGACATCCGACCGAATGAGGTCATTTTCTGTAATCCTCATTTTTAAACTTGTTAGATCTGCAGAAGCATAAAAATCATTGTTTTGCCAAGGACCCTGTGCTCCCTAAATCCTGTCATATAGGTGATTTATCCCAGATCATTTAGTGAATTGCTGGGTGGACACTAGACCCTAAGTTCCCAACCTGCCTGCTGTTCATGGATGCCCAGTCTCACCTGACAGCAAGGAGTGTTTAACAGCAGAGTGCGGGTTACATGCAAGAGCTGTGGGAACCTGCATTTTCCAACTGCTTGGTTGTGTGTTTGGCTGCAGCTTGCTGCTCCCAACTAAAAGTACATTGTACAGAGTCTGAATAAAGTTAAAGGAAATCACTGGATGCAGAAATCATTCTTACCAAAGGGACATTTTCTCCATCACATGCCAGGTGCTTAGAACATACTTTTTATTCCTCTTACCATGGTGTCAAATGAGATGCACAGACAGGCAAGTATTATTCTCTAACCAGCATTACAGCGCTCTCTGGATTCAACTAGACTCTGGTGAGGAGACAGAAGCGTTTACAGGACTGGGAGGAGCCAGTGCCTCCCTGGCCATTTGGTCCCCCTCCACCGCTGGTTCATGCTCACACTGGTCCCTGGGGCCATCTGGTTCCAGATTTTCCCGAGCACACCTGGAGGCCGTATGTGTCAGGCAACGGCAGCAGGCGGGAGCTCTGGGAAAGGAGTTTTTAAATTTTATGTTTGCTATTTGAAAATATCTCCTTTGAAGTAATCATCACAGAACAGTCACAGTGTTGTTGGACTTCCTTATACTTGTTTTGCAGTTGTGTATTTTCATTATTCAAAAAACAAACCAACAGGAAAGACCTAAGAATTGTGCAGTAAATTTCTGTATGTCCTTCACCCAGATTTACCGGTCAGCATTTCACTACATTGGCTTTCTCCCCATATGTGAAACATAGCATATAGACACATACATACATATATAATTATATCTACGTGTAATAGGATCATTACTGTTGTTTTGCTGCACCCTTTGAGAGTAAGTTAAAAACACTGCGAATTCTCATTCCAGAACACTCCAGCATATATTTCCAAAAGAACATTCTACATAATCACAATACAGTGATCCAATCCAGGAAATCTAATATTGTTACAAATGCTATTATATAATATTTAGTCTACCTTCAATTATTGCCACTTGTCCAATTAGGTTGTGAGTAGTTGTTTTTATTCTAACTATTGGCGGGAGGAAATGGGGCAGGGGGGTCTTGAGGTCATATTCTATACCTGGTCAATATGGCCATTAAGTATAAGGACACGTTCTCATTTTCAAAGACTTAAACGTTATTAGGTGATTTCTTTTACTGCCATACAGAAACCTGCCAGTCTGCATGTATTACCAGTTTAATAATATACCTTGGCTTTTTGACTAAAGATAAGGATCCTCAATTAAAACTACAAATCACACCACTGCCTTAGCACCAGGGGGCAGAGTCGGGCTTGCTGAGACTCGGGAATGGGGCCTTTTCTAACCGTCATTGCAAAGCCCCAGGCCCGGTGTCGAATATTAGTGTTTTAATCATTTCACTCCTGATTGAAACTTGCTTGCTACTGAAAAGCCAGTAATTAGCTTACCCTGATTTGTTCACCTAGTTAAACCCCTGACTTGGACATTGCCCTTTTCCTGAGGTTCACAGACTTATGCTATTTCTCTAATGATAACAAAATAGAAACCGAACTGCCAGCATTGTCCAGATGTACTTGCTAAACCCGGAGGACCAGTTTGTTGTTAGCATATTCTGCATTCGCAAACAGTGTCTTTGTGTCAGATCATGAGTTTATATAAGACTGCTTTGGCCTTAGAATATTTATTACTCTTAGACATTAACAGATTAAAGAAGCAGAGGATATAGATAGATAGGAGGCTAATACCAGTTATCAGTGGGTCAGAACCAGTTCAGCAAATCAGTTTAAATTGCCTGTCCAAGCCAAAAAAAAAAAAAAAAAAAAAAGCGGTTGCATAAGGACAAGGATTATAAAGAGATTATGGTCTATTTAAAATAAATCCTCAGCCTTTCTCCATCCTCATTAGCAATTAGCAAGAAAGTGTGAAGACAGAGATTCCTTTCTCTTTGCTTGGTTCTTCACTGCATTCTAAGAGGTTCAAACACAATTAGGCATTCTGTCCTAGCCGTCAGAAGTCAACTTCCTTCGATGCTTGGCAGTCAGCCAGCTCCTTTGGCTTTGCAGCCCTCTCAGAGAATGTGTCTGATACACCAGGATGTCTGACTTCCTTAAATCTGTGGGTCTAGAGCGCTTTCTGACAATTTTTTTTGAAAATTACGTCACTTCCCTCTTCCATAATACTGGAAAATGGACCTTTTGGGTGTGGAAAAATTGTATCTTTTTGACCTGGCACGGTCAGTAACAAAATAGTCTTTTACTAATTGGCGTTTTCTAAGAGCATCATGATTGAGACACAGCCATACTGAGACTTGCCAGTTGACAGTGGGTAGGGCTTTGCCCTCCAGGACTTCACCTTAGGAAACGAGATCACTTGGTTCAGTTATTTTAGAGAGTCTAATAACACCTTAGAAGCTTTGTTGTCACCCACTTCAGGTGGGGGGACATCTTTGGCCTATCTTGGTCCAGGGGGTCTTCGTTGCCATTCACTCACTGCTTTCCAGAGAGGCCCCACGAAACCACAGCCGCCGTTGTCTGTAATGGGCTTCATTATGCGCCTTCTTCTCTCTGCCTCTCTCGGAATTGGATATCAAGATTCACATAATCCCTATTGCCCAGTGTTTTATTTGCCGAAGCAAAACTTAGCATTGACAGAACTATCAGGTAGGTCACTTAGGATTGACTTCCTGTCACATCACCGGAGAAGCAAATTCAATGAATATTCGATTTGGCAAAACTCTATTTCTTGTGCCTTTATGCTTGTGTAACTTTATGAGAATCCAGAGGCCAGAATCAAGAAAAGGGCCTAATATTAAATAAGAGCTAAATGCGGATTTAAAGAAACACTGTCAGCCTGATTAAAACAAAGGTCTGATTACAACATTTAATTACTATCATTTAGTAGTAAACATCCTTTGGCTCCAAGTCTTTCCTCTGAAAAGCCACCATTTGTTTTTCACGGTACTTAAAATAATAAGCCCTTGTTCTCACAGACCATGGGTTTACTCTAAACCACTTAGAAAGATGTGTCAGAGTGCTTGAAGCCTACAGACAGAAAACGCCCAGTTTCTCTTGGCCCTGGCCTGTTGGACATCTCCAAAGAGCTCGGTGAAGCTGCTGTAGCTAAAATGCACTTTCTAATTGGCACAGCACCTGCAATCAATTAGGGAAGCTTCAATTACCCAAACCAAAGCCACCCACCCAAAGATTAATTTTCTGCTCTATTTCCTATAAAAAACACAGCATATTTAGCTCCAGGCCTAGTCCTTCAGTGGAGTACATTTTAGATGTATAAACTACATCATTTTCTGCTCGTTGTACTTGGTCCTTCAGTTCAGCAGCCTTCCCCTCCTAATAGCACGCCCACCAGTTCTTTCAAAATTGTTCATTTTCTATTGTTTTGTTGCCTTTCCAAAAATGCTGAGTGCACAGAGAAAAGATGCTAGTTGGGAGCTTTTCTTTTGAAATACGGCTTTCTTTCTTTTACTGAAAGTATCCAGGCTTTTTGGTACAGGACCCACCTTCTATAACCTAAAAGCTTTGAGTAATGGTGGCCTGAATTTAATCGCACTCATATATTGGTTTTTAATTGCCCTGTCATTGTTGCATGTAAATACAAAGACTTCCACCACCACTACCCCCCTTCTTGCTAAAAAGTAATTTTTCTGTTGTGTTTTTCAGAGAAGGAACAAGCTATTAATCGGGCTGGTATTGTTCAGGAAGATGTGCAGCCACCAGGTAAACTTAAAAATCAGAACAAAGACTCATTTGTACTGTTGTGGGGATGGGGGGCAGGTGTTTGCTTTGCAGAGGGAGAAATCACTTTAGTTCAGAGGCTGGACCGGGGACTGTGCTGCTTACTTCACAGCAGTTGCCACTTCACAGGTGCCACCCCGAGATTTCATTTTAATATTTCCCTCCAGAATATTTTTTGCAAGTTTACAGGTCCCTCTTTTGCATTTGCTAAGTGGGTGTGAAAATGTAACGTGTTCGATTCAGTATGAAGCGTGAATAGCTGTTTTGCAGACTTATTTACCAAGCACCTATTTAAACACTATCCCCACGGGAAAATACTGTTTACTTGGGAGCTATTTTAATTGATGCAGGATTCCGTTTCATACAGAAGCTCAGAAGTTCCCTGTATGGCTGGATGGTTTGTTACTTTCAGATCATCCAGGTTGGCTGAGAATGAGAGGCTCTAGCTTCTGAATCCAAACTCTTGTAATCGGTAGCAACATTCTTTTTAATTTCATTTTTAACTGGGCCAGATATGTGTCTTCCTACTGTGGGGCCATTTCTGAGCCAGGTGAAAGTCTCATGGCCGCCGTGGCTTCCCAGCTGTCCAGCCCAGGGTCCTGACAGTGTGCCCGCACTCTCTGAGTGCGTGTCAGTAGTGCCACTCAATTCCGATGTCATTTCATTTGTTGGGGGTTGAGGGAAGTGTAGGAAGTTTAAAAACGAATCCTGTTTTTATGCACGTTCCTTCCTATAGGGTTAAAAGTGTGGTCCAATCCATTTGGCAGGAAATGAGAAGCCTGTCACCAGCTCTATTATGAAATTAGACATCTTCATGCTCCCTTCTCCGCAGCAAGCGTGATAAATCACCTCGCCACAGAACGTCGGCTGGGGAAGAAAACTCTGTAATGCCGTAAATAAGGGTACTGTGCATAAGGATTAACACTTCCCTTCTTAGCAATCAAAAGAACCCCGGAACAAATCACGCCATTTGGAAGGTTTTGTGATTCGGTTTACTTTTCTAAAAATGAAGCTGTCTCACCCAGCTGTGTTTGGAGATCTCACTGTTCAGGCTCTACTACCCACCCAACCGTGCTGTGATAGGGTGCAAGCAGCCAGGAGCCTTGGGAAGACCCTGCTTTGCTTGCCGTCTTCCAAACGACGTTTCAGTGAAAAACCACTATGCCGAGACGCCTCGTAGGGCTCTTTGAAAATGTTAAAGTTGATCAAACTCTTCGGGGACAAGGTTCATTGTACTCATTAAGAATAAACTGTTCAGCTGCACTAACTCGTCAAAGGTTGCTGCACGTTGGAAAATAATATGAAGCAATTCACCCTAAATGGGAGTGCATGCAGAGTATGAATAGGTGTTACGTTAACAGAACTGAAAATGTGCGTATTAAAATGATTTTTACTTCAATGATTTTTTTGGGGTAAATCTTTTCTTAGAAACTTATTCAATTACATCAAAAACAATTTGACTAGATATTTGCATGGTGTTTGTCGATTTGTATACAAGTAAAAAATTTTAAGGCAAATAGCAAATTTGTTGACAAATATTTATGTGTTATGAGGCTCTCTACCAGGTGCCTCACTAAGTGCTGCAAAGATGAGCGTGAGAATACTTCTTTCCCCGCTGCTGTCTGGCCTCATACTAGATCATATGCCTTGGAAGAGACACATCTTTCCTGGTTTTAGGCCTCCCAGAGTGCAGTGCACCTTACTGTAGTCTCTTTAGAGGGACTGCCCGGTGATATAATTTTATTATTGTAAACTGGGAGTTTGCTTAACAGACAACTCCCAATTCCGTAATTACTGTCAAAAGGAAATAGGATTATTCCAAAATCCAGGTCATAATTTTTACTAGGATTTCCCTAACATTGAATTGACTTATAGTTAACAACCCAATAAAAGAAGTTGACTCACTCGGGGTACATTTGACCACTATTTTCCTTGGAGGGGCCACCAGGAAGTTGTGTAACTTAAAGTCAAATGTTCTGTGGGTGCTCAATTGAGATTTCTTTACGAGTGAGGCAAGCACATGTACCATCTGCTTTGGAAGATCTCCAGGCCAAAATGACTGTCGTAGAGGACTTCGGGGCCTCGACTGCCTGTTTGTCAGATGAAACAGACATCGTTTAGTCTCCTGAGTGGGATCTTTGTCCTGGCCTTGACCCTGCCTTTGGTTCACCTCTTTGCAGAGATGAAAGGGGCTCTCTTGTTCTGCTCAGCTGCCTTGATGTTTATAAAAGGATCACTTCCTGTTGTCAGTGGGGTAATGTCAGACTCTGCTGCCCACACTTGACAAAGGCTGGTTGTTAGAGATGCTACTCAGGAGGACTGACCGAGGAGGGCCTTGCAGTTCATACCCCACCCCCCACCGGGTGTGGCCTCTGGCTGCTAAGGAAAGCACTGGAAAGAGAGATCTTAGTCACATACATTTAGGAAACACTTAAAGTTAATTAAGTCTATCTGCTTCTAATTGGATGATTTCTGAGAGAGGAGTAACATTTCCCAGATGTATTTGATTGTAAATATTTTTCACAGATTATCTTCTGGGATTAGTGACCAGCCACATCCTTGTGGGGACATCCACCTCTAGATGGCGCTTCTCCATCTTTTTGGTCTCAGAAGCCTTTAACACGAGAGTTTTTGAGAACTCCAAAGTCTCTTTATATGGGTTATAACAAGACCATATTAGGAAGTAAATCAGATTTTAAAGTATTAATTCATTTAAGAACATCAGCAACAAACTCTCTGGTTTAGTGTGACATATTTTTGTGTAAAACATTTATTTTCCAAGCCAAAATAAGTTGCCAATTTCTGTGATGTCCGGCTTAATGGAGCCTCAGCTCAGCTTCTGCATTCGATTTCTTGCTACATCACATGTCGAATGGCCTCTGGAAAACTCCACTGTACACACTTACGAGAAGATGAGGGTGAAGAAGGCTGAATGTTTTAGTTGCATGGCGAACATAGTTTTGACCATGCAGAGCCCCTGTAAAGCTCTCAGAGACCCCCAGAGGTCCCTGGCCCACACTTTGAGTCTAGTTACTACCCCTCTTTGGGTTTAGTCAGAACTTTTGAGAACTGTGTATGTGGTTGCACTGGCTTCCTAAAGTCACAGCAAACTGTGCTTTAGCGTCTCCATCTGAGGGAGATAATTAGGGAAAAGGAGAAACTGACAACATTCCTTGTTGTTACTGAAATGTAGTTGGTTTTAAAATATATATTTTATTAATTTTTTAAAGATTTTTTCACTGATTTTCAGAGAGACAGGAAGGGAGAGAGAAAGAGAGGGAGAGAAACATCAGTGTGTGAAACATCCCTCAGTTACCTCTCAGGTCCCTGTACTGGGGACCTGGCCGGTGAACACAGGCGTGTGCCCTGACCAGGAATCGAACCAGTGGCCTTTGGATTTGCAGGCCAGTGCTCAATCCACTGAGCCATACCAGCCAGGGCAGTCCTTTATGTTTGATGTCAAACAATATCCTCCTCAGGAAGACCTGAGTTGACATTTTTTGAATCTCAGAACCACCAGCAGCCACACTGCTGAACAGCCGGCACATTTATCCAGTGAACACTGATTCGTGTCACTTGCTGCTTTGAACTGACCTGTAGGAAGCTCAACCACATCTGTGGTCAGTGTTTTAAAAAGCACCTAAGACCTCATCAAATGTATCCGGGCCATTACATTCACTTTCTGTCCTTCCCCCCCACCCCCAACCTTATTTTCCTTTCTGCTTTCTCACTTCAGTTTTCTATCTTACATCGTACGTGAGACTCTTCACTTTAAAGTGAGGCAGGGCATAAACTATTCAATTGAAAAGCCATTTCTAATTTAGTAAGGGAAGTAAATTCACAACAAAGATTAAAATAAAATGGAGCCCTGGCTGGTGTAGCTCAGTGGATTGAGCACGGGCCTGTCAACCAGAGGATCGAGGTTCAATTCCCAGTCAGGGCACATGCCTGGGTTGCAGGCTAGTTCCCAGCGGGGGACACAGGAGAGGCAACCATGCACTGAGATTTCTCTCCCTCTCTCCTTCCCCTCTAAAGATAAATAAATAAAATCTAAAAAAATAAAATAAAATGGGATATGAAAAGTGTCTTTAAGAAGGTTTAGGGGACTTCCAGCCAAGATGAAGGCATAGGTAGACACACTGTGCCTCCTCGCACAACCAAAAGAAGAACAACTAATTTAAAAACAAAAACCGACCAGAACTGCCAGAAAATTGAACTGTGTGGAAGTCTGACAACCAAAGAATTAAAGAAGAAACACCCAGACCGGCAGGAGTGGGGGAGATGGGCAGCCAGGTGGAGAGGACTAGTGGCAAGGTGCCGGCTGGTGGAGCCGGTGGGCCCATGTTCACGAGCAGATAAACCAGGAGAACACCTGGGGAACGAGACAGACCTAGCAACCCGGGGCCCCAGCGCAGGAAATAAAGCCTCAAACACCTGATAGAAAATACCCTGTGGGGGTTGAGGTACCTAGAGAAACTCCCAGCCTCACAGGAGACTTCATTGGAGAGACCCACAGGGTCCTGGAATGTATACAAGCCCACCCACCCGGGAACCAGCACCAGAAGGGCCCACTTTGTTTGTAAGAAGCGAGGGAAGTAACTGAAAGCCAGCAGAGTGGAGCAAGCTCCATTGCTCCCTCTCAGACCCCTCCCCCACATACAACGTCACAAGGCAGCACATGGGTTGCCCTGCCCTAGTGAGTACCTGAGGCTCTGTCCCTCATACGTGACAGGTCTGCTGAGACAAAAAAAAAAAAAGCCCAAATGAAAGAACAGATCAAAGCTCCAGAAAAAATAGAACTAAGTGACGGATAGCCAACCTATCAGATGCACAGTTCAAAAACACTGGTTATCAGGCTGTTCATAGGATTGGTTGAATTTGGTCACAAATTAGAAGAAAAAATGAAGGCTATGCTAAGTGACATAAAGGAAAATGCACAGGGAACCAGTAGTGACAGGAAGGAAACTGGGACTCGAATCAGTGGTGTGGACCAGAAGGAAGAGAGAAAAATTCAACCAGAACAGAATGAAGAAACAAGAATACAAAAAAGTGAGGAGAGGCTTAGGAACCTCCAGGACATCTTTAAATGTTCCAACATCTGTATCATAGGGGTACCAGAAGGGGAAGAGGAAGAGCAACAAGTGGAAAAGTTATTTGGAAACAGAATGAAGGAGAACTTCCCTAACCTGGCGAAGGTAACAGACTTCCAAGCAGTCCAAGAAGCTCAGAGTCCCAAAGAAGTTGGACCCAAGGAGGAACATACCAAGGCACATCATAATTATATTAGCCAAGATTAAAGAGGGGAGAATCTTAAAAGTATCAAGAGAAAAGGAGACAGTTACCTACAAAAGAGTTCCCATAAGACTGTCTGCTAATTTCTCAAAAGAAACCTTGCAGGCAGGAAGGGGCTGGAAAGAAGTATTCCAAGTCATGAAAGGCAAGGACCTATATCCAAGATTTCTTCATCCAGCAAAGCTATCATTTAGAATGGAAGGGCAGATAAAGTGCTTCCCAGATAAGGTCAAGTTCAAGGAGTTCATCATCACCAAGCCCTTATTATATGAAATGTTAAAGGGACTTAGATCTAAGAAAAAGAATATAAAAAATATAAACAGTAAAATGACAACAAACTCAGTTATTAACAACCAAACCTAAAACAAAAACAAACTAAGCCAACAACTAGAACAGGAACAGAATCACAGAAATGTAGATCACATGGAGGGTTATCAGCGAGGGAGTTGGTGAGGGGAGGGGGGGAAAGGTACAGGGAATAAGTAGCATAAATGGTAGGTAGAAGATAGACAGGGGGAGGTTAAGAATAGTATAGGAAATGTAGAAAATGTGTGACCCATAGACATGAACTAAAGGGGGGGAATGCAGATGGGAGGGGGTGCATAGGGTAGAGGGGAATAAAGGGGAGAAATAGGACAACTGTAATACCATAATCAATAAAATAATATTTTTAAAAAGGTTTAGAGTGTCTGCTGATGCTGGACACCCACCTGCAAACCCTGTTCCCAACAGCTGTCTCCTAGTTATTCCTGCGGTAAAAATGCACCTGGACACTCACTAGAATGCATGCTAGAATGTTCACAGCAGCCACGGAAACTGCTCCAAGGCCCCACTGACGGGACAATGAATAGATGCACTGTGGTAGTCACACCAGCGGAATACAATGCAGCAACGAGAATGACAGTACAATGACTCTCCCAAACAATGCTGAATGAATGAAGCCAGTTGCCAGAGTAATAGTGTTTGGATTTCATTTAGATAAGGAAAAACAGCTGTAAACCTTGTAACTAACCATGCAGTTACAAGTCAGGATAGTGGCTACTCCTACTTAGCAAGGGGGAGTAGTGGTGGTGGATTGATTGGTCGTGAGAAACGACTAGGCCTTGC